AAATGCATATCTTCTCTATATGCTACTTTGAATGACATGGTATATATCTTCTCTATATGTCAATCTATGCAACTTGACTTGATTATTCATACATATCTTCTCTGTATGCAACTGTTGACGTGTTATTTGATATCAAATCCATATCTTCTTTATATGTTGAACTGTAGTTGGTTTATGTAATGACTCGATAGGTCGTTATGAGTTCTAGCTTCTCATTTTGTGATTTGAAACCTTATATATATTTATTTGATGATTTATGACTTGCTTGTGTGGTCTGGTTTGATTTCTGAAAAGTTTCAATATGATTTTTCAAATAAAACTTAATTTTGAACTTGAAAATGGTTAGAGTTGTCAACTGTACCGTTTTACGGGTAAACAATATGCGTTGTCACTAAGCTAAAGCATATTATATTATTTTGATAATTATGTTATCCATGCTTAGGTTAGATTATTACTTCTTTAATTATTCATTTCATATTTATTGTTTATTTAAAGAGGTTAAATTTTTTTAAAGTTGAAGTTTGATATCATGTCACCATATTTGAAAAGAAATTATTCCTCACCTTGTTTTATTATTCGGACTTATATTGTTGCTTGGTGAGGAAGAGAGAAAAGCACGAAAGGTGTTACCGTGCCTCATTTGCATTCATAATCATACATTGTGAGACTTGATAGTAAAAGCACGAAGGGTGATGCGTGCCATTATATTCATGCTATTACATGGTGATGACGAGAGTAAAAGCACAAAGGGTGATGTCGTGCTATTATATTCATGATATTACATGGTAAGGACGAGAGTAAAAATACGAAGGGTGATGCCGTACAATTTTCTTATCATTGTCTTATTTGATTTTCGGTTTTGGTTTCCGATTTTGGTGATTTACTTGGTTATATTGCTACTCATTACGGAAGACGTTATTTTGTGATTACAACGTGATGTACTTATTATATCTTTCCCTTTTCGCATGTTCCCTCCAGTTAGTATTTTATCATTCTTCTTGTTGTGTTGCTGCTTTTATATATAATTGTATGGGTATATTTACGTAGGTGTCTTGTTATAGTCTCGCCACTACCTCATCGAGGTTAGGCTCGACACTTACGGAGTACACTGGATCGGTTGTATTCATTCTATACTTCTGCACTCTTGGACAAATACTGGTATTGGTCCCAGCGGTGCTTGAGGTGCGTCGACTTTTATCATTTTCATACGAAGACTCTAGGTAAATCTGCTGGCATTCGCAGACCTTGAAGTCCCCTTCCATTTTCTACTTTTGTTGTTTATTTTTTTCGAACAGTTGTATTTATTTCAGACTATGTTTGTAGACGTCTAGTTGCTCGTGTACTCATGACTTCAAATTTCTAGGAGTAGTTTGTATTCCGTGATTTATATTCGCATTGTATTAGATTTGACATTTATTTCTCGTTGAATATTATTAGTTTATTTTTAACTGTTTAAATTGGTTAATTATCTATTTCATGCCGGCTTGCCTAGCAAGTGGATGTTAGGCGCCATCACGAGGTTGAGAATCCGGATCGTGACAACTGAAATCTAAAATGGAGTGATAAAAATATTTTAAAAGAGGCTGACCTCATGGCTGATGCTATCTTTTGATGAAAGATTGACTCTCATTAATAATGTTGGATGTATTTCAAACTACATCACATCTTTACTTCTGATTCCAGATAAAATGTAGAAAAAATTAGACCCTATTATAAGATCATTTTCATGGGAAGAAAATAGACACAATCACAAAATTTCATCTGATTAAAGTCTAGAGTAATACTTCCCAAAGAATATGGCAGAGTGAGTATTAAGAATTTGGTTGGACATAACAAATGTATATTAATGAAATAGTCATGGAGATTCAGCAGAATCCTAGTTTGTGGAAGTCACTTATACAAGTAAAGTACAAAGAATAGGGTCACAAGTGTACAAAGCAAATTATATCACCTCATGACACTGTTCCTTGGAGGTGCATCTCAAAATTTCAGGGAGAATTGCAGCAAAATTGCTCTTTCAAAGTAGGCAATATAGCACACGTATCATGTTAGTAGGGAAAATGGCTGGCAAACTTAACACTAAAGGAGGAATTTCCTAACATTTTCTATTAGCTAGTAACCCAGACTCCATTATAGCTCAAAACAAAGAGGATAACACATGGATTATGTAATTGAGGAGAAAAATTCAAGATTTGGATTTAGACTTTCTAGTAGAACTACTAGCTAATCTGGATAGTTGCTCAATTAGTCTATTTGAAAGTGACAAGATGATATGGGGCAACTTAAGGGTGGGGACTAATTCTATCAAAGAAGGGTATACATTTTGGGTTCAAATAAGACAGGTGGCCTTGAGAGCTCGTATGGAGGACTAAACTACCAATAAATATATGCTTCCCTTAGTACCTTATATTAAGCTTGTCTAATACAAGATAATCCGAGTAGAAGAAAATTTAGATAATGAACATGTGTTATATGTGTCAAAAGGAATATGAGAGTGTGAATTATCAGCTTCAACACTATTTAGCAACAATCGATCTCCGGAGCAAGTTATTTTCAATTTTTGGACTAGCTTAGGTCATGCCTATCAATACTAAGAAAGCACTTGAAAAGTTGATAAAAGCCATCAAGAAGATCTTAAAAATGGTGTATGCTTGTATTTTTTTTTGTACATTTAGATATAAAAAGAATCGCAGATATGGTGTATACAATCATTCCCTTTGTATTTTGCCTATGCATCAGCTTGATGCTTTTAATGAAATTATTTTACTTCATAAAAAAGGTATTTTTAACTTTTTTTAATTATACGTGTCATTTATTAATTTGTTAGTTCGACATGTTATTAAGATTGAAACTCACACATTAGATCTGTTGGATTCAGGTATGCACAAAATGCAGTTGTGCTAAGTAACCATATTTATCTGGTCACAAAAATAGTTAAAGCGTCTAACTGGTATTTAGTGCCAACTTCGAGTGTTGTATAATCTATATATAAATATAATTGAGGGACATAGCCCTGGTTACGTGGCACCTGTCATCAACTGGGAATGCACTTCATCTTTTTCTCCTTTTTTAGGTTGTCCTCCTTTTTTTCCCGTTTACCTACGTGGTTAAAAAAATAAAACGCCATCAATAAAAAAAAAAAAACTCGCAAACTTATTGAAGAAGCGTCCTTTCGAAGACATTAGGTAAAAAAACATAACCGTTGCTGATAGGATTTCAACATGAGTTTTCTTTTGCACTTATACTTTTGATCTTACATGATAAGAAAGTGCAATTTCTTTCTTCCAATATTAATATTTTTTCTCAACTGTGTCCTCTCGACAGACAAACTGCCTCAACTGCTCAACTTTCAAACACCTAATCACAATCATGGGACGTTTTCTTATGAGGCTAGAGAAATTCAATAACTTATCAATGGTAAAACCAAACTAAAGTTCGCTTCCCCCTCCCATGTCAGTTGGCCTGTTGTAAAATATAAAAATAAAAAATGATTGGACAATTTTTGTATAAATGTACAAGTATAGATCAATGATCAAGTGGCAATTTGATTTGGGGATATGCATGTGATGTCGTTCTTGAAGTAATTTACGTGTTTTGCTTTGAGTTTTATGGTCGAGTTTATTTCGTGTAGTATTAGAAGTACTCTGCTTTGACTTCATGTCTGATTCTTATGCCAAAATTGAAGGTAATATGCCGCTGAGAAATTTTGAAAATCATAGCGCCAGAGTAAGAATTTCATGTATAAATCTTTATCTTATATTTTGTATCAATCTATTTTTTAGTTCTGAGGAGCACACTTACAGATATATCTCTTAGCATTAATTAACATATTTTGTTACCAACTGAATGTAACCGTTTTTTTATTAATGCGTCGAATATTTGGCTTGTATCACAGATTGTTCTTATTCTTGAACTTACAGAAATAGGTATTCTTAGAGTTAAATGACAAATATTTTGCTTATAAGCAGAAAGTAGTAATTTCTTTTTAATATTGCAATTATTGCTTGTATTTAGTCATGCCCTTTAACTTCATTGGTGTTGGTGGAGTTCTATTTCTTGAGAAGTTCCAATTTTGCTGAACGTTCTCAATGAAGTCTTAAACTTATGGATCTCTTAAAGATAATTTCATATACGGACTAAGAGAGCCTCAATCAGCAAAGTCCTCAAGAGCATGAAAGTTCAGATTTTAGAACCTTGCTGATATGGTATTTTTTTTTTGCTTTATTTTTTTTATTCTTTTTCAAGCCTTTTGCATGCCTCCAAATATATATAAATTCATATAAACCTTTTAAATAAAGTATTAGTGAAGTGAAGAAAGATTTATAGGTTGTGAATTTTTAGTTTCTTTGTATTTTTTTTTTTTACACTTTTTTTCCAAAGCAATATCGTACTTTTTATTGTTTATAGAAGTCTGCTTCATTTAAAATAATTATGTATTATGTTATCTATTGCGTTATATGCTTTGAGTTCATCTCTAGACCTTTACATATACTAAAAATAATGACGAATTACAAAGACAACATGTGCTTACGAGAATTAACAATATTTTCGTAAAAAGTTAATAGAGAGGAAGCCACTAAAGTTTGAAAGCAATAATTTGGTTTAAGAAGTGATAGTATTACTATTATCACGCCTTTTGAGCAAAAAGCTTTTCCTCTTAAAGAAATTGAGGTTAAGTTTCGCGATATCGGTTGATTTTCGTATGTTAAGCCGTTTCTGCTAAGATGATAATATTTTTCAAGATTTTGACAAATTTAGTTTTGATTCTTTTTCTTTTAGTGTATTTTGTCAAGTGGTTTTCAATCTATTTGGAAGTGAGTGAAATGTGCAGTTTTTAATACTGTGAGTTTTGGAGTTAACAAGGAAAAATATTTTGAGTCAATGTATGAAATTTGTATATCTATCACGATTAAATGTATAACAAGATCATACAATAATCTATTGCTTTTTTAAATAACTTAACTAGTATAATCATATCATAAAAGAGGGATGTAGGTGTAACTTCCCTAATAGAACCGAAAGCAAATGGAAAGAGTCCGACCCGTTTAACCACCCAGCAGAAACTCGTCTTCTTCAAACAAACAAACAAAGAATTTACAGAGTTTTCTCTCCATCAATGTGCATTTCATAATTTTGGTCTCTGCTCTTTTCACTTCAACAATACCAACCAATCAAACCCAATCATGGCAGTAAATTTCCTACCAACCTCACTCTCCCATTCTACATTTCATCTCCCATCAAATACTCAAAAAGCTGATCACAAATTTACCTAAATTTCATTTTGATTTGTGGGTTTTTCTATTCTAAATTAATTTTGTGTTTTGTAATGATGCAGGATTCGACGGGTACGACGTTAATGGATCTGATAACATCAGACCCATCATCCACCTCCTCCACTTCATCACAGTCGACGCCTGCTGCACCACCACCCTCACTACCTTCACAGACGGCAACTGTGGCGGCTTCCGCATCGACGGATCGGAAGAAGAAGGGCACACTGATGCAGATCCAAAGTGATACCATTTCTGCTGCTAAGGCTGTTCGTGCCAACATTATGCCTCAGAAACAAAAGAAAAAGGTAACTTTTTAAATAATACTCCCTCCGTTGAACCCATTTGACCGGACACGGAGTTTGAAAAAAAAAAAAAGAGAATGAGTTTTGGACACGTAGTTTAAGAAAAGAGAAAATGAGTTTTGAACTTGTGTGTAAAATGAGTCATGTACATTTTGTGTGGTTATAAATCATTGCATAAAGTTAAATTATTTCCAAATAAGGAAAGAAGTCGTTCTTTTTGGCACGGACTAAAAAGTAAATAAGTTAACATAAATGTAAATTGTTTCCAAATAAGGAAAGAAGTCATTCTTTTTTGCACGGACGAAAAAGTAAATAAGTTTACATAAATTGAAATGGAGGGAGTACCATTCTTTTACAGGTCCAAATAGAAGAGTAGAGTAGCAGGCCCATTATATCCCTGAGTGTCGAGTTAAAAACAATGGATTTCTGGTCATAAAAGAATATAGTTGACCCGACTGCTGTTGAATTGAGGCATAGTAGTTGTTATTATGTATCACTCTTATTGAAGTGATCTGGAGCTCACAAGCGGAAAAAAAATCCTGAAAAGAGAGGGTATTTCACAAAGTACTATAGATCTTAGTTTATGAGATGTTCTAGAAATCAGAAATGAATTTCTTAATTCTAGTTGTCTTTGCATTCTTTATAAGGATAATGTTGTATCAGCTTTATGAGCCACTGCTTTATCTCTGTGTACCCTGTTTTGTAGTGCCTCTTTAGTTTTTCATAGAAATGTAGGAAATTTGTGATGGATATTAATATGTATCTCCCTACTTCTACCCTAGCTTAGTGTTTCATATTTGTACATAGAGAAATCAAATGTTATAACGAGGTGTATATTTCATGTGATAGTTGCTTTTAATCTCTTTGCTTGTAGTGCAAACCAATAAATGAAAAATGTACTAATCCTGCTGCGTTGAATCTAGGTTTTTCGTATTTTCTTCGATTCCTAATTAATTGAAAAAGAAAGGATTTTGCTTATTCGTGTTTCCTAATTAGTTTGCAATCTTTAGGTGTTGATTCGTAGTTGTTTTATGACTTATTTAATATCATTTTGTTTTTCTTCAAAGTAGGGCTCATAATTTCATTTTGGTTTTCGACATCTTATCCTAATTCCGAAGCCTATGCACTAATAATGTTTATTTCTGCTGTTGCAGATCTAAAAGAAATAAATCAAAATGTCACATCTCTAATAGTTTAAATTTTTAAATGAGGTGGTCATACAATTAAACATAGTATTAGAGCAAGAAGGGCCTTGAGTTTGTCTCATTTCCATGCTTCTATCATGGGGGAAGGTCTAATCCTTTTGCCGCCACAAGGCTGGCTAATCCTACGCAGTAGGCTCGGACACCCCTTGTTTCGGAAGGCACATGAGTTTGAACACTATGTTGAATGTGCGTTTTGACACAAAGCAATGCGGGATTGCTTGGAAGCCCCAATGTATGCTTGTGTTTAGTTGATTTGGGAAAAGCTCCAATACACAATATATTAGAAAGCAGAGAACCCATACAAAAATATGGTTGCTTACTGAATACACCCAATAATCTCTAATTTTGCGTACTTCATTCTCGTGCATAAATGTTCTTGTAAAGGCTGTGCACAATGCACAAGTTTATTGCGAGTATACTCATATAACTGTTCCACTCTTTTGTAGGTGTTATAGAAGGAAATATGTCTCTGCCAGCTTTAGGGATTCATATTATAGGACTAGACCTAGCTAACCTAAATGGTGTTTGTTTTTAAGGCAATGGGACTTTTCGTCTTTGACCAAACATTGGTTGAATCTTTCTGATCTCGTCTCTAGTGTGCCTTTCTAGTGTACCTGTCTCAGTTTGCTTGACGTTTTTGTACAGCCAGTTTCTTATGCGCAACTTGCAAGGAGTATCCACGAGCTAGCAGCAACGTCTGATCAGGTACATTAGTTTTCTCACATTGTACTTTCCACTGGATAAATTTCTTTCTTTAAAATTTCTCTTTTTGTCTGTGATTACTTGCAGAAAAGTTCTCAGAGGCAGTTGGTTCATCATGTGTTCCCCAAACTGGCCGTATACAATTCTGTTGACCCTTCTTTAGCGCCATCTCTTCTTATGGTATGGCTTACGACTTCTATAATCTCGTTTCTGCATTTCATTGGCTATTTCTTCCCAGAGAAAAAGAAGCTCTAGAAAGAACTTTTAGCGTGCAAGAGTAGAGAATAATACCAAAAAAGAGCATACATTGAGCGTTTGTGACCTTTATTTGCATGAAATAGTGTTCAATTACAGCCAAGCTGATGGTAAGTGTTTATAGCTTGAATGCGTGCATTTTGACAAGTAATCGTACTTTTCTTGTTTCTTTAGCATTTCCTTTGATACAAGAAGGTGAAAATTGAAATTTGCCTTTATGGTGAAGGATTTGGTAGTTGCTGGAGTTTGCTATTGCTGATGTTCTTTTCCTTTTATTTGTAGGAGATTGTGAATTATTCTACTTAGCAAAAGAAGTGATTTATTTTTTTAAAATATCTTATAGCTTCCTTGAGGAATCTGAATTAGTGAAAGTTGTTTTATGCTCATATGCCAGGAGCGACCTTTTGATTTTTCCTTATATTACTCTTATGCTGGACCCAATGAACTTTTCAATTTCTTTTAAGCTTTATGATAAATTTTTTTTTTTTTTTTTTTTT